GTTCAACCTGATAACAACCCATGTTATTCACCTTAAATCATGTTTCTAAGTTAATTGGGGGCTAATCTGCTATAAAAATTGCACTGCAAAGGTTAAAGTCACTGATGATCTCCCAGCATTTCCCTTGTCATCAGGGATTCATTCATATGTACCCCACTTTCTGAGCATAGCAACTCATTTTTCTGGCTGGGTACTGCATTTCTTCTGAATTCTATTTCTCAAATTGTGAGAGCAATAAAAATTCTGTCATCAACACTGAACAACCCTAACTCTATGAAAGCATCCACTGTCCAGTGCATAAAATTCATTCCTTTTAAAGAAGAGCATTTTACCTTTGGCGTTCCCTGTTGCTAAGTACACTGAATTGGTTGGAACAGCCCTTAATCAGTCAAATGTTCACTTATTTCACAAGTGACTATCGAGTGCCCCATGCACGGAAAGAGCCATGGCTCTGTAAACACAGGACTGTGTTCAAATTTTAGCCCTACTATTTCATACTGTTAGACAAGGTAGGTAACCTAACTTCTTTCAGCTAATGTTTCTACACTGTCAAATGGGGATAAAACATTATCTTATAAAGATTCTATAGAGATTAAATAACTTTTACAACACACAGACATATATTAGTGTTCAATACGTGTTGCTTCCTCTGTTTTTTTTAATCCACCATGGAGCATAAAGATATAATAAGACATGCATCTCTCCCACAAGGAGAACCTTATAAGCTAAAATGGGAAAAGAGGTAAAATTATAGAAACAACTGAGATGACAACAGTGATAAATTATAAGAGAAATAAATATTGCTATTCTAGGTCAAATGTAGTGTACATTTTGTTAAAGCAATCAGAAGTGGGACAGTCTACTTTAGAACAGAAAAGTCAAGGACTCAGAGAGTAGAATGGAGAAAGGACATTCCAAACAAAGGGGACAGCTGGAACAAAATGATGGTGCTGGTAGTGAAAGAAGAGGGTGAAGGGGAAGAGGAGGAGAGAACACCACTGATAATGACCCCAGCGATAAGGAAAGGGCAAAACTGATAGCAAACTCTTACTATGTTTCATGCATTTTCTAAGCTCTATATATGTATTGACTCCTTGAATCCTCATAACAATCGTAAGAGGAATAAGAGATGTCAGGATGATACTTAAATTGAGAGGCAAAGATGATTCTTAACAGAGATGATACTTAATACGATGCTCAGGGTCACAGAGCTAGAAGTAGCAAGGTCAGCATCCAAATCCAGACACTGTGTCACCAGAACCTGCGATCTATCCATTGCCCAGGCTACTTCTGTAACAAAGTACACAGGCAAATAAAGTCCAGGATGAAGAAAGAATAAATCATTCCCAAATTAATTTCTTTGACTATGAAACAATGAATATACACGTATATATAATAAATGAATGTTTTATCTGATGATAAAGGCAAAATCCTTTCAACATAACTTATAGAGTAATTCCTCATTCATGTTGTTAAATTAAATGCCTTTAAATTAAGAGCAAATGCTTGTTTGAGAACCCTTGCAAAAGCTTAGAATGTAGCTGACACATACACCAATGTAATACAGTAGATTTGCAATATGTAATTTTTCTGAAATTATATTACACTCTAAGACAAGAAACTTCAGAATAAAAGGGAAAAAAGGAAGAGAAGAAAGGAGAAAACTGGGACAGTAAAACTAAAAATACAGAACTCTATCAATTATCCAGTGATGATAAGGTGGTATGGTAGAGAAATGTTGGAGGACCCTAGGGGTTCTATTCCTGGCTCTCTTGTATCAGTTTTGTATACTTCAGTAAATCTTTTGATCTTCTAGAACATTAGAGTTCTGAAATTCCATGATTCTTATTTGATGACCATTCATAACTGTATTAATTCAAAAGTCCTGAAATCCTTATCCCATCATAACTGAATGTCTTCTTATAGTACTTCATTCTGGGTGTAATAACTAAATAACTCTTTCATACATCTTTTCTGAGAGCCTTTCATATTTTCATGGGAAGACTCACTTTCTGGATAAGTGAAAAAGCATCTGAAAACACACTGCTTTCACTACATTGTTGATATTTTTATGGCAAGATAAAAACTACAGCCAAAAAATGGAGTCCTTATTCTTTTAATCCAAAGCCAGAGTTTTCTTCCTGTCATCAAAATCTCATTCCTAATGCTCCATGGTATGGAATTTCTAAAGGAAATACAAGACCATTTTAATTTAGCATGTACCTACAGTAAAAGAAAAATCTCACCCCTATCATACAAAAGGCAATAATCATTTTGTTAAAAACAACTTACTATTAAATAATGTCAGATAGCTTTTAAAATAATACTCAGTACTACCCAAGCATGGTGACTTGTGCCTGTGATCCCAGCACCAAGGGAGGCTGAATCAGAAAAGCTGCAAGTTTTCATACCTCCTGAGCATCTTAGCCAGACTCTGTCTCAAAATAAAAAATAGAAAGGGCTAGAGATATTTCAATCTCCAGTACTGCAAACAAATAAATTTAATTAAATAAACATAAAATAACATTTGATCCTAACTAAATTATGACAACAGATTTTTCTTTCATTCCCGAACAAGACTGTAAAGGTAAACATTACATATGATTATTACTGATTTCATTTACAAAGCAAGAAAGTAGTTTAATCATGTATCTGTCTGACCATCACAACTTATTTTCATTAAGGGAGTACATTAAAATAGGTTTGACTACTGGATTTGTCAATTATGCAGTCAATACCAATCAACCAAAATGAAATGTTTACAGAACCACAGTATAAAGGTAGAGTTCATTTTTCAAATAATTGTCACAATTTTAACAAACTTCTCCCATACATGGAAATAAATCCTACAAATAATGAAATGATTTGGAAAGTACAAAAACTGAAAGCTGGAGACTGTAAAATTAGGAGTAAAAAGGATGATTATTACCATGGTCATAAGTGCATCGATTTATATGTAGACAATCCAATACAACACTGCCAACACTCAACTTTAATGCCTGACACATCTAGAGAAGCAACTGTGTGCTTTTAGAAGAAATACTAGTGTGGTAAAGAATGAGACTTTAAAATAACATTCTGAAATAAGTGTTATGAGGTTAGGTAAGAAGCCACTTTTGTTTTGAATTTGTTTTTATTCAAAAGATTAGTAACCATTTCATGAATATGATCAAAATACATGTACACACTGAAATCCCACAAAATGTGAAACTGGGGTAGGGCGGGCATGACAATCAAATAATAGGGGCTAATGATTGAGGCGTGTTATGTGCCTGTACAAGTCTGCCTAACGAAACCCATTAATCTGTATTACCAATATGCACTAATACCAAATGCGGGAAAATAAAAGAGCATTTTGGCAACTTTTATAGGCAACTACAAAGTGAAAACATCTGGTGGCTAAAGACCAAACTAGTGCTTTTAAAATTCCATAGTATGATGCTTATAATAACTGTAAAGCATTGGTCTATGCCATTTTAATAAACATCTTAAGGAATAATTAGATGGAAAGCATTCCCCCCACCCCCAAGTAAATCTAAGAAATGTAATTTTTTTTTACTCCACTAGAGGGTAGTCTCTCAAAACCAGGGCTGGAGTCATGTAACGAGCTAGCTTTTGACCTGTTGGTACGTTAATTCTTATGTTCCATTCTTCTCAATGAGATGTTTCTTTAATGTACTAATTAAGGTTATGACATATACATTTTAATTGAAAATTTTTCATAGGTATTCTTAGAGACACATACAATTGCGTTTTTGCATTTTTCTGTTCTAAATTTTTGGTAAATGCAAAAATTCTTTTCCATATATGGATTATGTAGGATATTTTCCTGGTAAATATCCATTAAGGGTTAATATGCCTAAGGATAAGGAGAATCCATTTTTGATAATTAATTTGTTATATTTGAAACAGTCCCCCATAGTAGTAAATCAGACAGCCTCTCCCCATGAACACTGAATGTGCACAAACAGTCCTTGCCCGTTAACCCATTTACTTGTGCTTGGCAAATTTATCGCGTTACATAAGAAGGGAGTGAATATTTTAAAAATGCATATATTTTTAAAATTACTCCTCTTATATTCAAACATTTGAATTTTAGAGAAGCAAATGCATGCTTTATTTTTATGACTGGCCAGTCCAGAGAAGTGTCATTGCCAAAACATAAGGAAAAAGAAAAAGAAACGGCGGGGGGAGAAAGTGGTATTGAACAGCAAGCACACATGCTAAATTAAGCAGTAACTATAGAGAACCAGATGCCACTCAAAGCTAGTTTCAGGATGCTCTTCTTAAAATAATACAGCTATTGCTGAACTTCACAGAGAGGCAGGCAGCGGCTTGACTTTATACCAGGTGTTTTTAATATTCGGGAAATCCTTTTTAGTAGTGAGCCCTGCCTCCAGTATTTTTCAAAGTGAAAACATAAGTTTCCCTGAATGGCTGATAACCCCCCAAATGAGAGAACTGATCAAAACTCCCTAACATTTCCCTGAAGGAGAAAAGGCAAGAAAATGATTCCTAGGAAAATATGCAAGCCGGTTTCATTTATTTGTACCCTAAGCAGCAGTGTCATAGAACAGACAGGTTGTTTCAGCCAACCAGACTGGAGCCGCTGCGAAGGCTACATCTTGGCAGTCTGAAGCGATTGGCTCCTCTCTGGGGAGCGGAGGGTGTTCAGTTATTAATGACCGCGGAGCAGGCAGCACCATGTCAGTGTGACAACTGATCGGGTGAACGATGCACCACTAACCACCATGGAGACAAGGAGGAATAAAACCAGCTCCCCGCATCTCCCTGCCCGGGATTGAGAGCCTCAGCTGCCGACCGGGAGAAAGAGTTCCAGGCGAAAGAAGGAATCCTAGCTGCAGCCTCCTGCCTTTCTATTTTAGAATACGGAGATAAGATTGCCTGTGTGTGTGTGTGCATATCCGTAGTACATATTTGTGTCTACTTTACCGCGCGCACACACACACACACACACACACGCATGATTCACGGATTCACACCCCGGGAAGAAGACCACCGAGTGATTATCTCAACTGAGGGACGGAGGAATTCTGCACGCAGGGACACCAGAGGTGGTCTAGCTTTGAAACTGCTCTAGCAAGGTAAGTTTACAATGCGTACATCTATTCAAATGTGCTCTTTCTCCTTTCGTTGAGGCTCCTGTTTTTACACTTCAACTCTCCCTTGAGGTTTTCTCCCCGTCTGAATGTTAAGAGCATTTTTCGTTACATTTTACTTTTGAGAAGAAATTCACATGCAGAATCTGCTGGCTCTGTGTGCAGAGCTGCGCCCGTGGGATTTTCCAACATGCATTTTACTAGCTTGAATGCCCATCAGAGGATGTGAGTAGGAGAGAAAAAGCAGCGCTGGGGGGAGGAGAAAGAGGAGGCAAGGGAAGGGGACAGTGGGGAGAAGAGAGGAGGGGGAGGGGAGGGAGATAGGGAGCGAGCAAGAAGACAGAGGACAGTTTGGGGGGAGTTTTCCTTCTTCTTCACATTACGTCTCATGCAAAGGCGATCACACATCATCGTGTGTTTTAAATCCCCGCTGTCAGTGGGGCATGTTTGCTTCCTTTCACCCTGTGGATGGAAATGGAGGCGAATGCCGCTTTATAACGAGGGCAAAAACCACTAAGCCGAGTAGCGGAGTGAGCACACTGTATCACAAGCAGTTATTGAATTTCTGCCAGGCTACATCTTACATATCGGGGTAGATGACTTCTCTTTACTAACATCCCCTGGCTGGTGTGAAGGGACGGAGAACGTCTGATTGCTAATGCAGCTGGAACTGCCACACGCTAGGTAAAAGGATCCCATGAATCCGAAGAGTTCTAATCTTCTTTGGTAATTAACAGGATCACAGCGGGATGGCTTTAAAGTACATTTCCTATTTAAGAAGATTGTTTGTTCAAACGAACTGCAATATTCCCTTTGCTGTACTGAGCTGGATTCGGCTCTAATTTATTCATTTTTAACAATATGTCCTTGTTTCCATATCTCTAATTTTAGTGAAAGCAGCCTATGAATATGAGTACAACCTTCCTACTTTAGCAGGAAAGGGGACAATGGGAAAAATAAAGAGAAGAAGATTCAAATGATCTACCAAGAAAACAGTGTGCCCTAGTACTATAAATATTGCTCATAGCCTATATTTCTTATCTTTAGTTTCAGAAGCAATGCCTTTGAGACAGAAATTACTCTCAGTACACTCTATGAGCATCCATGTACTGATGAATCATGGAACACGCTGTGGGCTAATTTTTACTTTCAGTCTTGTAGAAGGAAGCCAGCTACTTAGACTGCGCTTCCAAAGAGACAACATCAATTGAGGATGTTCCTGGAAACCTTCACTACCCCTGTGCACGGGTCCTGTAAAGACACTGAAACAAACCCCGCATTTACATTTCATAGGCTGGAGCTCTCTCTTCCTTTCCTTTAGTTCAACTAACCAGTTCATGGAGTCTGCTTCTTTGAAATAGTGGGGGTTATTTTCCAAACTGTAATTTCAGAGTTATTATTGGTTTCTTAGTTTATAATATATGCCAAAAGAGAAAAAGATAATAACCAACCACTTAGATTCTGCCACTTTCTCATAAATGTGTCAAAAATGAGTCAGTTTATAATATGTAATGTAAGAAGTCAATTAATTCCAGCGACCTTTGTAAATGATGACAATGAAACAGCTCTGACAATCTGCCAGTGGCTTCGATTTTCCCTCTGTAAAATGAACAAGTTTCAGAAGAGGGTTCCTGCTCAGAGTGAAAAATGAAAGGTGCTGAAGCATTAGCTTGCAATATTGGCAGCCGTGCTCGCTCTGCCTCAAACGCCACATGCAATCTATAGAAAAAACAAAATGATTTATTACAAAGAGGAAAAGGTGTTTTATTTGCTTTTCTGCTATTCATTAGAAGTGCTGCTTTTGAAACCGACCAGATCTGTTATTCTGAGGTAGCTCTAAGTTCCTAGCCAAGAGGAAGTAGATGTTTAATCTCCCAATTTCAAACTCCTATATAATGTAGCATTGCAGTATCGATTTCAGCTTTTCCTAGACCTTTTCCAGGGAAACTTTTGATATTGAACACACACATTCTTAAATCTTACCCAGCCTATTTTAAAATTGCAATCAATGACAACTAACAGGAGCAGGTTTGCTCTTTGACCTTAGTAAAGCTCACATACATATTTTGTGGATTTCAGAGGTCAGCAATGTGCCCACTGGAGTCTGAGAAACAGTCACTCCAGGACCCCGCATTGCAACTCTGTGTGTGCCTGTGAGTTTGGTGATGTGATAATCCGTGCCAGATGATGGACATATGGGCATGTCTGGAAGATTTAACCATTCATAGTCACACCCAGCCATATAGAGATACACAAAATAATAGCTTTCTAGCAAGACCAGCTTCAAAGGAGGATCATTTCAGGGTATTACTTGACACAAGCAACATGTTAAGCTACAATGCTGATGAGCAGGTGGAATTTTTTCTTTGGTAGTTGAGAGATTTGTTGTTACTGGTTTAATAAACGGTGTTACCAGCTTAATAGGCCAGCAGTTTGGGGACCTAAGGAAAGGGTGCTCAACTTACGATTCATTATCTGTATTTTACTGGGTTTACTGTTGCTCTTGTTGTTGTTGTTGTTGTTGTTGTTCTTGTTGTTGTTGTTGTTCTTCTTCTTCTTCTTCTTCTTCTTCTTCTTCTTCTTCTTCTTCTTCTTCTTCTTCTTATATATATATATATATATCTACTGCTTTAGCCACAAGATGGGTTTGGTGTTGTACATTTTCCTCTACTCTGATTTTATTTTCTGCTAAAAAAGTCCCATTTAACATGGCATTATGAAATTTACTATAAACTCATGAAAGGTTTGCTTGAATTTTTTAAACAATACTTTGTAATTTAAATGTTATTACTTAATTAGCAATCCCCAAAGACGGCCATAAATGAAGATGCTGAATCGGAAGGAGTTCATTAAAAAGAAATCAAGAACATGCTAGAAAATGAGTCCTTATTCCTAGGATCAATAAGATTGCCCCCAGAGAGGAATTTAAAGCCATGTGGTTCAAGCCAATATGGAGAAACATTGGATGTATGTGAAGCCCACCAGTCCTCAGTGTTTAGCTGCTTATGTTTTGCTCTTAAGTATATGAAGTTAAGTAAAGAAGGCAAACATGAGACAATACATCAGCATATCTCATCAGTGCTGTCACAGATAAAGCTCTCTGATGTTGGCTATGCACCAAGTACTTAGGAAAGAAAGCTTCAGTGTGTACCAAGGGAACACAGGTCTTGCACATAGCTCTCAGTTCTTCCCTCACCTCCTTGTGGTAAAGTGATGTCCAAGAAATTGACAGAACTTGTCAAGGTAGAACTTGACAGCAATGATTCCTTTGGCAATAATGTCAAGGAAGTCAAACTGTAACGTAAACAAAGTATCTGGTGTCCGAGGATGGGGAAAAGTAACAGGAAGAAATCAGAATGCTTTGTTTAACTTGATAGAAGAGTAGAAGATCCCAAAAGATGTGACTTAGAGGTCAGTAAATACAAGATGAGAAAAGATATGAAGGCCTTTCTCAAATCTTTTTTCAGTTGCAGCACTGATCAAGTCATCTACTTCATTTGCACAATTGTCAAGTTTATTCATACTTCTTGCTGTCATGTTTATTCTCTTTAGACCATGGGGGGGCTACTTTTTAAAGGCACCAGTAATCAAAACCATATTATACAGAGTCAGCACAGAGCAAGAAAAAGAAAGAAAAAACAATGCTTCCATAGAATAACAGAATCTTTGAACTGAAAGTATCCTATAGTATTTAGTCTAATCTAATCTGCTCATCTGATAGATGAAGAAACTGAGGTCTAAAGGGTTTAGCATGTTTATAATGAAAGATAAACATTATATGTTAAACTCACACAGCTATTTATTGGAGAGGCTTAGGAGAACTTCCTCTACCATTCCATTAAAATTCAACCTCCTCTATATTTCAAAAATAATTTTAAAAAGAATCAGAATTATGCGCAAAAAAATTAAAATAATTATCTAGATATTCAAGTACTCAAATCAAAAGCTAATACTCTATAATAAAGGGGCATTGGTTTGTCAAATATATATTTCAAAACTATTCATCTTTGGATACAATATATCATACTCTGTAGTAAGTCATAGTAGTTAGAGCTTTGCCCTGTTTTTAAAGCATCTTCTTATCAGTACTATCCTCCTCCTATGGAGGTTATCCAACTATGGATCATCCACTACAAACTAAGCTTTTCTATGAACTCTGAAGAGATGATCCACCTCCTTTTTAAATTTAGTTTCACTGTAAATATTTTAAAGCACTGAAAAATTTTTTTTATATATACAAAGTCCCTTCCCAAAAAACCATACTTCACTTGTACAACTTATTGGACAACAAAGAGTATATTCTTATAATAGTAATTCCTCCTTTCTTCTACCCTCCCTTCTTCCACGCTGCCTCCCTATCCTGTTTTATTTTTCATTTCCAGAATTAGAATGAGAGTATTTGTAGGCAATGAAATCTTAATTTCAGTCTTTTTTTTTTTTTCCTTTTTGGCAAATTACTCTCTGTTTCTAAATGTATTCTCCAAATTCTGCTTAACACAATAGTAATTAATGAACTCAAAACATTTGGAAAATAAAGAAGTGTACTAAAAAAATTAACAGCAATTGTGAATATTTGTTTAGAGCTCCACTGTCTGTCCACAAAGCTCTTTTTAAACACCATTTGTTTCTCACAGTAATCTGCTGAGGTAGGGCAGGTCCAACAGTGTTCATTCCTTCTGTTAAGTCCAGAGAATAAGGTTTAAGTTATAGTCTTGCTAACACAAGGAGCCAGGGACTCCAGAGAATAGGAGATAGCAAGGGAATACCACTAATCACTATACTTAACATTTCAAAAGTCATGCATAAATATCCATTCCTTCTTCCTGAACTCCTATTCTGGACCTTACCCTAGAAGGCCTGTTTTTTTCTTTCTTTGTTTGGTTTTTTATTTGTTTTGTTTTTTGCACCATACCACACTATATCTAGATGGATGCCCGCAAATTGAAACCTGTATTTCTTAATTTAAATCATACTTAATGTTATAC